GCCTCCCTCCCTGGGACCAGGAGCAGGAGCAGGGCGGACAGAGCTGCTGCCATGAGACTTTCAGCTGGAATAAGCCTGCCCCTCAGAACCAAGTCCTCTGCGCAGACCATGTGTGCGAGCAGGTACCCTCACCACAGGAAGCTTTGTGTCTGCACCTCAGACATTGTGTGAGGCGGTAAGGCGCTACCTGAACTATGGAAATAAGCTACAGAAACAAAACGGAACATGCAGTGCTTACAAGAGTTTATCTGCTCTTTTGTAAGCACGTAAAACTTCAAAGGACACACCTAAAAAATGGCCAGAGGAGTGTACAGCTTGGAAAAGCACTGCAGGCGTGGCACGGAGGCGGACTTCAACCTGCCCTGGAATTTTCAGAGGCAAGTGGTCTGCACTTACTGCCAACCAGTCCCGTTAACCTCAAAAAGCAGGTGGGCTTCAGAAACAGCCTCTGGAGGCATCTGTCACCAAGGGGGCATTTTGTTTATTTTTATGTATTTAGTAAGGCTCTCACTACTGCAGCTGCACTTGGAGTGAGCCTCATGTTTCCAGTCTCCCCAGCGCTGGGACTACAGGTGTGTGCCACCATGCCTGGACTCGGTGGCCGGCTCAGTGTGCCAAATCGAACTCCGGTCCCTGTGCTTGCCCAGGCGGCTGCTTGGCCAGCTGCGCCATTTCGCCAGCTCTGCAGGGGCAGTTGTAAAGGGCAAGTTTCTGACACCATGCCACAGAGGTCTCACCTTGTCAAACGCAGGGTAGACAGCACGTATTTCTGTCAACCAGCCATACGGCATGTGGCCCACGGGGTATGTGGCTGTCAAAATTGCCACAGCCTGCAAGAGAAGAGTGAGTGGTGTTAGTGAGGCCATCTGCAGAGAGTCCTCCAGTTGCCGTCATGCCGTGTGGCAGATCTCCCCATGCTGAGTGGCTGGCTCTGACCAGCACAGGACTGTGACCGGCCAGAGCGCAGGGGACGTGGGTAGGTGTCACTGCTACAGGGATGCAGGGAAGCAGGTCAGAGGTTTGAGATGCCAACCCTGGCTCCTCCGAAGAGGTCTCTCTGGTATTTCCCTTCTGGGTCTCAGGATGCAGACCTCCGTGTCCCTTGTTTGAGGCGGCTGACACTGTACATCTGTCAATAGTGTTTTGCCACTCTCTCTTTCCAGACTAATGGCTTAGTTAAAATTTCATTTAATAAAGCTAACAAATGTCTCATACAGCTGTCCACGTGTTTCCATGAAAATGAGTTTTTGTGTGCATGAAAAGGAAGACGAAAACAGCCTCTTATGCTACAGCCTGGCACATTCAACTCTACCTCCTCAGGTCAGGAGGAACGCAGGCTGCACCTACTTTAAAGAATGGAGGAGCAGTGCCCAGCATTCCAAGAACATGAGGGAAGTCCCTGTTGTGTGAAGGAATGTGGGGTGCGGAGCAAAGCTGGAGGTGCGGTCAGGCAGAGCGAGGGCCCAGCCTCCCCCTTCACCTACAGCTGTGCTGGGGCCTCCCTTTCTGCTCCTCCCACAGAATCGCGAGAGCAACATCATCTCGGAGGGGTGATGGGAGCCCAGGAAATGGACACAGTGCCGGACGCACACACGTGAGCGGGTGGTTTGCACACCACCGCCAGCAGCTTGGAAATGCACGAATACAGGATGTGTCCCTTTCCTTTCATTTGTTTTGAGGTGAAGGTGGAATTCTAGCACATAGGTCATGGGCGTCCCATGCTTTTTCCGGGACACTTTGCATCCTCAGGGTAAAAAGCTGCTGTGTTACAGAAGCCGCCATGGTGACAGCCATAATTCCAAAGACAAATTCCAGGAACAAACTGAGGCAAGAGAAAGCATTCTGCTTTTGATTTACAGGCTGCTCCTTTCCTGCCAACACGAGCTGCTTCCTAGGACATGGAAACTGGCACAGTACTCCGGGCTGGGGACCCGCTGACGGTGCAGTTCAGGGCTCGGCAGCTCCACACAAAACCAGGTGTAAACAGAGGTCCTAAGGCGGGGCCAGAGCCCTCCTGCAGGAGGCAGCGGTGGTGCCAGAGGCTGAGTTACTTCTGCAGGAGGCAATAGAGGAGGGGGAAATAAGTGAAGTCATTCTGTTTGTTCAGACCCGATTTGAAATGGGGAAAAAGCGAGTCAACCCGCTCCTTGGAGGAGCTGCCAGTTTCCAGGCTCACTGCTGCGTTATGAATCATGGAGCACGGGCTTCATCACTGCGAGAGAGGCAGGCAGCCCAGCAGCTTCTCAAATCCTGGTGGCAAGAGGTGACAGTGGGTTGGGAGCAGAGGTCCTGCTCCCTCTGAGCACTCTCTTCTGCCCCCACACAGCAAGTTCTATTGAGCAAAGAGGCTCCTGTTGTCGCCATGGAGATATGGAAAGCCCTGGGGTGGGAGGCAGAGCCTGGGTACTTGCCAGCTCAGCTCCTCGGTGGCCTGGCCCCCTTCTGTGCCTCCATGGAGGGGGTTGTGCATGTCTCCCTCCACACTCAAGGTCATATAAAGTCATGTGACCCGGTCACTGCACGGGCGCTTCGGCTTCCCACCATGACTGTGTCACACAGTTTAGAATGGCAGAATCTCCTGAGTGCGCGAGATGAACTAGAAATAAGTTTCAGCCTCCCCGCAAAGGCTAGTGCAAGACACACGTTCCCCCAAGTCACCCTAAGTCTCCCTACCTCCGTAGCTGCAGAACTGCCACCGAGGTCCCGGGACACAAAGAGGTTGACAATGGGCCTACTGATTCTCTGCGTGGCCAAAATCAGGGCCAGAGGCCACCAGAAGCTCAGCATCTTTCTGACTGTCGCATCTCCCTACATTAAGAAATGAAGACAGGAAGGAAGTTCACCAAACTCCAGAAGCAGAACAGAAAATCGAAACTTTTGCTTTTCATGCCAACCATGAGTCAGTTCACCACACTTAAGAGTAATGTATGTGCATATATACATAACCTTCATAGACAAGCCACACTGAATTAAAATAAAATGTAGTCTTAATAGAAACCAATTCAGACAGTGGCAAATCAGTGTGAAATCAAAGCACCCTGAAGTTTGATGGATTGTAACCACTATTTTCCATACAGGGAATCTCTAACCGAGGTAGAACTCAGCTTCCTGGCCTGAGAAACATGTCTGAAATTAGGCCTTGTTGATATCATCACAGTGCCTGGCTAAGAGCCGTGCCAGTGGGGGGCAAGGCTCAGCAGTGAGAAGTGGTACAATCTATTTTGGAGTCAGTCAGCATATATCCATGTGCCTAATCATTTCAGCACTGTGTAAATTGGCTACAGAGGTTCTGCTTCTCCGAGTTCACACAGCGCGTCACATAAATCTGTTCAGAAACACACACAATAAGAGCCTGGTGCGGAGCGAGTCACTGCTCCAGACCTCTGCAGCTACAGCGGATGCTAGCTTTAAAGCCGGCTTTTCACTGCAAGCTTTGGCTTTGCTTCTTCAGCAGGGTGAGAGCTGCACCCTGGAGCCACCTCAGTCTTCTGGGGCTGAACGCTGAGAGACGGACTGTGACCTTCTAGACCAACGTGGCACTGGCCTCCTGGCGGTGGGCACAACGAGGTAGGAAGCCACTGAAGGCCCCACCTTGGATGGAGGCAGGTGGTCAGCGTGAGAGCGCCACGTGGTCCAAGAGGGGCCGGGTGCACAGCGTGGGGACTTACTTGGGGTTACACATGATCGTTTCTGGGTGTCTACTGGCTATGGAAGACTTAGCTGCCCGGCAGTCAGGTACTGCTGCTCTTCACGACCGACGAGTATGTGGCCCCGTGTAGGAGGTCGCACATCTCACTTCCCTCTTACGAACTTCTCAAGGCCAACCCAGCCTCCGCCTGAGAGCTCCCTGTCCACGCTCCTGCGCCCCTCCCCTCAGTGTCCAGGCTCTCCTTCTTGCAGTTTGGTGCTTCCTGACATTCAGGCTTAACTGCTTTTTCTTATCTGCCATGTGGACTGCAAAACTGCTTCAAGACTGCAGCTGTATCTTTTTTTAAGTTTTAAATTATTTATTTATTTGGTACAGGGTCTCACTATGCAGCCTGGACTTGTGGTGATCTTCCTGCTTCAGCCTGGGATTACAGGCATGCATCACCACACCCAGCTTCGGTGGCTGGCTTGGTACACGTGGGGTTCTGGGGCTGGCACGGCATGTGGTGCTGGGGATCGAACCAGGGTCCTTGTGCTTGCCAGGTACGCTCTTAGACCTCCCACCAAGTTATCTCACCAGCCCATCCCCACCCCCCAGAATGTGTCTTAATGGTTTCTGTTACCCTATGGTCCCTAATGCTGGATCTGATTGGTCCCCAGGGGTAGGCACCTGCAGAAAAGACTGAAATTGGCCACTGCAAAAAGAAGGGCTAAGCCTGAGCTCTTCCACTCTCCTACTGCCCTTCCCTGCAGGCGCCAGCCAGCCCTTGGGCTTGGGGCACACCACACAGCACACGCATTTGATGCGGAGTCCTCCTTCCACACGGGGTGCAAAAACATCTCGCCTTGCTCAGTTCTCCTCGGACGGCAACGTACCCCCAGCTCGGGCCCACTGCTGTCGGGGATGATGTCGTGGATGTTCCTGTAGTAGCCCAGGCACAGGGTGGTGCAGCGCACGAGTGCGCCCATGTACAGGGAGAGGATGGGGATGAGCAGCGGCTCCCGGCATTCCAGGTGGCTGTGAAGCAAAATGGCTACGAAAACAACCTGCAAGACAAGAAGACGGCAAGGGTGAGCGGGGGAGAAGGGCGGCCGACAGAGGCACGGGCCCAGTCCCTGGCCCTGGGACCCTCCTTCGATCTTGACGCAGAGGGCTGGACGGGCTGGCCTTCCCTGCTGCTCTCGGACCCCCGCGCTCTAGGTTCCTTTAAGGCAACTGCACAGCTGGTTAGCACATGTGTCGAGGCTTCGACCTCCTGAAGGCAGAGGGGCTTCCATCTCTGGGTGCTGGTGCTGGGCTGCAGGCAGTGGTGGCCCGCGACGGTCCCAGGGTCCGTCACACAGTAGGGGAGGGCACATGCACGTTTACAGGATGGAAGTCATTACAGTGCCGCCGGGAGCGTCGGCGGTCATTGTCGTAGAGCAACAGAAATTAAAATCTAAAATATTAACTTAGAAAGTGGAACGGACTGAAAGGAGCACACTCAGGAGAGTCTGGAATCCTAATAAAACATCAGGCTCTGTAAACGGCACAGGTGCCCAAGTGCGCCTCATCACGTGTGGACCTCCCAGGGCGCCCGAGCTCGGCGGAGTCCGGCCTCCGTCAGAGGCCTCGAGGAAGCCCTCACGAAGGAGGTTCCGGAAGTGTTCTGAGCGCCAAGTGGATTCCTGAAGTTGTCATGCTGTCTCACTTTAGTGGTCAAATGTGCACAGAAAAACAGGCATTTCGAGTACACCACCACTGCAAGACCCTGATCTGAGGTCTAACCTGACGCTCTGTTACCAAGCCCAAGCAAGGACACAAGGGTGTGACAGGACGCTGGGCAGGAGAGGGACACTTCCGGGCAGTGCTCACACTCACGCACAGTTACACACACTTCCTGGAGGCACCAAGGAATTCAGCAACGGAGAGGACGCCCATGGCTGCCCAAGTGGGCCAGCTGGCAAAGGGCCCGCTGGGACACACTGCATACACAGCGGAGACGGGGGCCAATGCCCACATGCGTATCTGACTGCACACGGTGCCCTCTGGTGCATACCCAGAGTAAGTCTGTCCTCAGCAAGCGTGCATTTCACAACTCCCAAACCTATACTGTAACACAGGGTGGCTGTGAGACACTAGCTGGACAGGTGAGGTGGAAGAGGAGGACCTGGAGGAGGAGAGGGAAGGCACACACCAAAGGGCATACATGTGGTGGTGGCAAGATGGCGGCCTGGCGCACGGTGTGGGAGGGACAGTAGAGGGAGGAGGGCAGACGGGCTCAGCAGGGGGTGCGCCCAGGGCCAAAGGACAGTGCTGACAGCCTCCCCTGAATTTCTAATAGAGCCACGCTGTGTGCCCCACTCATCCTACATCTCTTCATGGTAGACTGTTTCATTTAGCAACTCAAAATAACACCTGGGTCCTTTGCATCTGAATGCACAATGACAGTTGTGAATCACAGACAGCCATCCCCACGTCAGGTTATTTCCTGAGTAGTCAGGGCTGTCCCAGGGAGAGTCGGCCTGTGGTGCCCGGGGCCAGGCGCTGGGATTCCGCGACAGGGAGACAGTCCCAGAGCTGTCCTTCTGGCTGACAGTCTTGTGGAGGAGGCAGAAACACTCATCAGATGATGGCAGAGTGCCTTCTCACGGGTACAACCAGAGTTGGGGCATAACCTAGGGCACGGCGTGAGTCTTTTTTTTTAATTGCTATGATAAAATACTTTGGGCAGGTTAATTTTCTTAGAGAGAAAGAGAATTTTTAGCTCAGCTTTAGACAGAGGTCCAAAGTCCAGGCAGTACCCTGGCTGTGCGGCTTCATGCCCGACGCAATGGTTACAGACTGGGGTCCCATAGGCTCTTCCAAGGGCACCCTGATTACCTAAGGACTTCTCACTGGGCACCACCCTGTGAAGGCCCCGCTCACATACTCAGCATGTGACACTCCAGGAACTGAACTGTGAGCAGCTCCCACAGCCAAGAGCTGCTGAGACATCTGCTGAGACAGGGAGCCTGCCTGTGGCTGATGGCACAGGATTCTCAGGAGGACAATCTGGCGGGACTGAGCCAGGTGGGGCCAGCTATGGGCAGGGGACAGAAGGAAAGGGAAGTGAAGAAATGGAGTCTGCTTGTGGCAACTGCTTTCCCAAGAACTCTGGCTATGAAGTGGTAGATACAGCGAGAAGCACAGCTGCAGATGGACGTGGGGATCAAGAGAGAGCGTCTTGCGGTTGCTGGGCGATGCTCGAGGGTGTTTCCAGGGCAAGAGAAGCAATCCAGGAGAAGGAAGGAGGCGTCACCAGGGACTGCTTAGGGAGGCCTGGCCAGGCCCCAGCCCTGGACAGCTGGAGGGTCACCGCCTCTCCTGTGGTGAGGAGGGGGAGAAGACGCAGCAAGGGTGAGAGGCTGAGCCTGGAGCTGCCTAGGGGTAGCAGAACGCAGGCTGGAGCCTGACACCTCTGCCCTCTATCGTGGTTACCTTCAAGCTCTGGTCAGGTCTGGCTCAGTGCTGCACACAGGCATGTCGGTCCCGTAGGAGGTCTATCTAAGAACCCGCAGTACAAGCTGTACTAGCTCTCAATGTCCCTGGTCTACCTCAACTTCCTTCAAGACTGAGGACAAGTATAACTGGTTTTCAGGATTTCAGGGGCAGCCAACTGAGCGCTTTTCCATGAACAATAACTAGAATTCTCCAGTCATTGTGCTAAACCTGGTTCTCGGAAAAGCAGAGCCTCCCAGACACCCCGCGATGACAGCACTCACAGTTACCCTATGATGGGACAGATGCTCACCCCCCCCAAGCAGGAGCCATCACCACGTGAGAGCCAGATGTCCCCCTCAGGTGATAATGGGCCTTCCAGGCCTTTACAGAACCAGCCCTGAGGCAGGAGTCAGCCAGGCCGTGACTCTGGAACACTGCAAGCCTCCAGCTACGCAACCTCTAACCTGGCCTCTGCCCTAATTTCCTATTGAACCCCTGGGCCCTGCCTGCCCCTCCAAGGCAGCTTGTAAACCTTGTGACCTGTCCTCCCAGCATAGCTGTGCTGAATGAAGTTCCTTTCTGGCCCTGCCCCACTGTTTGCCCCTTGATTGGCTCTCTGGGTCATGTGGGCAGGCCTGGTCTATTGGGATCTCTGGAGCTGAGGCATTTTCCCTGAAATTAGGGCAACACTGACCCAAAGTCTGAATACAAGCTTGCAGGCCCGGGTTGGAAGCTGCAGAATTAGGTTGCCACCATTTTCTTCACAAAGTGAAATGAAGTCATCTGCTGGAAAATGTGTGTGTGTGTGTGTGTGTGTGTGTGTGTGTGTGTGTGTGACAGCTCCTAAGGGTCAGGTGAGGGAGGAGGTCTGGCATTTGTGGCTCAGCCTTTGTCCTGCTGTGTGATGGGGGGTGGGGAAGAAAGTTCAAGAACTGGGTCTGGTCAAGGCTGGGACTTGGGGGCAGGGCAGGCGGAGATGAGCAGAGCAGGGAGCTTACGCAGTCCAGGCAGGATCAGCTGTCCTAGATGCTCTGCTAACTGCAAAGGCAAGGACAGATGACAGAAGGCTCCAGGAAGGGACAACAACCTCCAGAAAACTGTCCCTTGGGTACCAGATGACCAGGAAATTGAGCAAACACAGCTGGATTTCTTACAAACCCACTGGCGATGCCATTGATTAGAACAAATGCAACTGTCTGACATGCTGGTAGCACAGAAAAGTCCTGCTTCCCTGAAGCAGACCCAGAGCCTCTTGCTTCCTGGCGTGGAATCCATCATCTTAGGACAGTGACAGTTGCCACTGGCACGCAAGGCACCACTAACACATTTAGATTCTTCCTGGCAATCGCTATTTCTGCCCAGATGGTAGTTCAAGGTATTCTGAGCAGCCTCTGCTTACACGTCACTGTACCAGTAAGCAGCCCATGCCTCTGGACAACGGGAAGAGCGCAGACGGGGC